TGATTCCTGGGACCCATGTAATAGAAGGAGAGAACCAACCACCCCAAGTTGACCTCTGAATACCAAGCACGTGCCATGTCACATATGTATACACACACACAAAGAGAAATAAACAAATATAATAACTTACTTCTTGCGTGATTGGTGGCCTGAACTGTTTGTGCAGTTCAATAATTATCCTTAGACAAATAAGAACATTTTCTTCATTTTCAGTCTTTAAAAAAAAAACAACAAAAAAAATCAAGTTATATTTCTGAAGACATTTTAATCTCAAGATTAAGACAAATTGTTGGTGGGCATGGTAACAAACACCTTTAATACCAGCATTTGGAAGACAGAGGCAGGCAGAGCACTTTAAGTTTAGAACTAGACTGATCTATAGAGTGCTGTGGCTGTGAGACCCTGTCTCAAAAAACAAAAATTATCTAGGCATTTGCAAATCATACACAGCGGGCCTAGACAGAAAGAGCCACGGTCTTTGTGGAACATCTGAACAACATTCCACCTACATGTTAGAGTAACACTGAGACAGGTGACCTGGCGTGTATGACACAGAGGAAAGTCATGCCATGAATTACTGCCTCTTTCACCCTTTTGATAGAGGGTCTCATGTATCTTGGCCTGGCATGACTCACTACATGTCTGAGAATGACCTTGAACTCCTGAATGCTGGGATAACAGATGTGCTTCACCTAGCCTGGTTTATGTGGTACTAAGAATGAACACCCAGGGTTTCATGCATGCTAGGCAAGCACTCTACCAGCTCAACTACATCTCCCATCCTGAAATAATGTTGTTTTGTTTGAAGCCCTGTCTGGTTTGGAACTCATTAGACCAGGCTAGCCTCAAACTCCCTGGGAGTAGTCTGCCTCTCTCCCCCCCAAGTGTTGGTATTAGAAGGGTACACCACCACAAGCCTGAATTGATGCTTTAGTGGCTAAATGACATCCTGCCTAAAACAAACAGACAAACAAAAAGTGACCCACTGCTTGGAAATACAGGTTGCACATTCCTGATCCAAAAACCCAAAACCTGAACTGCTCTGAAATCCTAAATTTTTTGAGCATCTCACAAGATACTACAACTAGGAAAATCTATGTCTGACTTTACATACTGGGTTTAACAAACTTCACATTCAGGCTATGACTGTATCCCTAAAGTATCCTGTTATGTAAATGTAAATATTCCAAAACTCAGAAAGAAAATAAAAATCCCTAGCACTCCCATTCCCAAGTATTTGGGGTGAGGTGTGCTCAATCCATGTTGCCAAAAAACGAAGACCAACCAGCTACTAAGCATCCACTATGGCTGGACCAGGTGCTAAATGAAGCCAATGCTATGTTCTGGGAGGGAGGGACCAGCCACTTTCTACCCTCCAGGTCAGGGAGCCTCAGAGATCTTATGCAATGGGGCCAGTGTGGTTAGCTTTGAATGGCAAAGCGAAGAACCCAGGAAACTGTCTCCTAAGAAAGCTTATCTTCTCAAGGGCCCAAGGCACAATGGGATTCTAAACATGTTAAGACAGAAGAAAACAAAAATAACAACAAACACATTCACCCAGGAAGCTAAGGTCTTTCTGAACATGGGAGTGCATGCCTTTAATCCCAACCACCTGGGAGACAGAGGTAGGCCAACCTGGTCTACTCGGCAAGTTCCAGGCAGGCCAGTGTTACATAGTGACACCTTGTCTCAAAAAGAAAAAAGGGCTGCCGGGCGTTGGTGGCGCACGCCTTTAATCCCAGCACTTGGGAGGCAGAGGCATGCGGATCTCTGTGAGTTCGAGGCCAGCCTGGTCTACAAGAGCTAGTTCCAGGACAGCCTCCAAAGCCACAGAGAAACCCTGTCTCGAAAAACCAAAAAAAAAAAAAAAAAAAAAAAAAAAAAAAAGGGCAGGTGCATGGCATACACTCAGGAGGCAGAGGCAAATTTCTGAGTACAAGGCCAGCCTGGTCTATACAGGGAGTTCCAGGTCTACATGGGCTGCATTGTGAGACCTTATCTAAAAAAAGAGGAAAGAAACAAAACAAACAAAAGTCTTCAATTAAGTAGTCTGTTTTTCTGAATTAGACAAAGAAGGAGGAAAAGAGACATTAAGAAAAATGTCACTCATTTAATCAGATCTTTAGTGAGGTGTAGACAACTACTACTGCATTTATCATAAGAAAAATAATGAATGTTTTAAACATGGCTATGGAAATGTATATTCTCAAAGATTACCTCTAAAAATCTAAACATCACGGACAGAACATTTTTCGTATGAGGACGAAGATGCTCATTGGTCGGTATCCTGTGAAGTATTTCAAGTACTAGCTTCCGAAGTTGCTGACAAGAAAACACAAATGTATAACACAGGAAGTTCCAAGCTCACTGTTTAACCTTACATACACATCACATGGCTGGCTATAGCCAGAACCAGCAACCACTATCTAAGAGGGATGTGGCCTTAGAAAGAGACCTGTAAATTATTCACATGTAACAGTATGTGTACAAATCATCTTCAGTATCTCCAGAACCACGTTACATAACAAATAAACTCCATTGTGCTTTTTGCAACCTCACCAGTATTCCCAGCACAAGACACAACTGTGAGAATATAGTAGAATGAAACCCAAGAGCAAACTCCGACTCTGAAGAGGAAAAAGAAAGGACCAAGATGACTCAGTGGTTATGAGCACTTCCTACTCTTGCTGAGGACAGTTTAGTTCCAGCACCTGTCGGGTGATTCCGGCTCCAAAGGACCCAATGCCCACTTCTGACTTCCAAGGGACCCTGAATTCATGTGTGCTCATGCACACAGACACATAACTAATAATGAGATATATATTTTGTGCTAGAGATTGTTTAATGGTTAAAAACACTAGGTGCTCTTCCAGAGGACCTGGGTTCCATTCCCAGGACACACACAGTGGCTCACAACCATCTGTAACTCCAGTTCTAGGGAATGGAGCACCCTCTTCTGGTCTCCACAGGCACCAGGCATGCTTTTGATGTATAAATGTATATGCAGGCAAAACACCCATCCCGCGAGTCCATTTTTCTTTCCCTGCTACTATGAATAGATTACCTGGGCTGGCTTCTCCTGAAGAAACTGGACTTCTCCATCTTGGAGAAATGTAAGAAATCGAGGGATGATATGTTCCAGGAATGTAGAGTACTGAGGAGATGATGTGACATTCTAGGTGACAATTAAAAAGGAAAGGCAAAGTGAGTTATGTGCTTATTTTCATTTTAAATTCATGTAACAATCCCAAAAGAAAACAAAGTGTGTTTTACTTTTTAAATTTATGCTTGCACCCCCACATGAGTTTTCATGTGACCACATGCATTCAGGTTCCCAAGGAGGATCGAGAAGTCAATAGATCCCTTGGAACTGGAGGTACAAGCCACTGGGAGCTGAAACCAAACCCAGGCCCTCTGCAAGAGTTGTAAACACTATTAACCACTGTAACATCCAAGCACTTCCAGACCTGACAGTAATTCCCAATGCTTTCCGATGCTTCTGAGATAATATCATGTTAAAATAAACGAAAATTTGAAGTGCAACAAAGAGAATTAAGGACCAAAATTTAGTGTTAAAATTGGATCTGGTAGGGGTAGCAGAGATGGCTCCCAAGTTTCCTTCTGCCTTTCTCTTCCTATGGGACCTGAGTTTGGTTCCCAGCACCCATGGCTGGTAGATAACAAAAGCTGGTAACTCCAGCCTGAAGGGATTCAACATCCTCTTCTGGATTCCACAGGGATCCACATACATGTGGTACACACAAAGACACACACACACACTGGACATGTCAAGTTAGACACACAACTCGATGGCCAAGCATTTGCCTAGCGGGCCTGAGATTCTGGGTTCAATCCCAGCACCACACCCACAGTTGCTTGCATTCTTCCCATATTCACCACAGCACAATTCATAAGAGCCAAGAAACTGGAGCAATGGAAGTATCCACCAAATAATGACTAGTTCAAGAAAAGGTCTGTAACCTAGCACAAGACTGATGCGGGAGACCAGCAGTTAGAGGCTATTCTTTGCTACAAAGCCAGACACTGTCTTGGGGATGGGGGGTGGGGGTATCATTTAGGTCTTCACTTAAAGAAACACTCATACACATAAAATAAATTATCTTTTTAAAACACGTATTATCCACAAATGGTAGTAAAACCCTTTAATCCCAGGACTGGAGAGACAGAAGCAAGCATATCTCTGACTTTCATGCCAGCCCCCTCTATATACTGAGTTATAGACCAGCCATGGCTACAGAATGAGACGCTGTGTCAAAAAAGACAAGACTTTTAAAGCAGCCATTATAAAGTCAATGCATACCACACAATGATGGGTCACACACGACAGTAGTCTGTAAAATCCAAATGGAGCCCCCAAGTGTCCTATCACCTGGTGGTATCACAGGCATCAAGGGCAAGCACGTGTCTTTGTGGCGGTGGGATGTCAACAAGCCTGTGCTACCTCTTGTAACCAAGCATAGCACACGCAATTATGTGCGGTGTTTAAAGCCCAAGAACAAACCACTGCCTTGTGGTTTCTGTATTAACTCCACTACGCTTTTTAGCTGCTTCTTTTCTTTTTAAAGACATACTAGATGTGGGATTCATTACTACACATGATTTGGTGGGGCATGGACAGTGGAAGCCCTCAGAAATGCAGGCCCTGTCATTTGTCCAGGCAACAACTGTGGATCTATCTGAGCCAACAGCTCTGGGACAAGCCACTGCATCTTCAAGTTCACCTGCATTAGGCATGGTGAAGCTCCACTCCTTTGAGGTATGGGTCTTCTGTTGGTCAGAGAACTAAAGCTTGACTCTACACAAGGCCTCATCCACGCGTTCGTTCCTTACTTTTCAGGTTGGGGCAGATGAGCGCAATAACCCGCACAGCGTGAACTGTGGCCACTGTGCCCTGGGGCTTCCCCAAGGCACTCTGCATGCCTTCCTGGAGCCCAGGTTGGGGACAGCACTGAAACTGGAGACATGAATATCTGCAGGAAAATTGCCTTGAAAGTCCCTCAGGGAAACCACGTAAGTAGCAGGCTGCCCACACTCCCAAGGAGGTGGCTGTTTGCAATCTTTGCACTTCATGTCCCCACCAGGAAAGGAACTGGGTTTGCTCAATTGGCTACAGACTGTCTTGATGTTTTTGAGACAGAGTTTCATCATGTTGTCCTACTGGGATAAACAGGCAAACGTCACCAGGCTTGTCATCATTTGAATGTATGTATGATTAAATGCCACTGTCAGACAGTTTGCTGTGTTACACACTGGCAGCAGCCACATATATTTTGTGTTTACATTTTGATCATATTAAGAGGCAGACTGGTGAGACAGCTCAGCAGGCAAAGGTAGTAGCCATTGAACAGCACCTGCCCGGGAAAGAGTAAGAGAGCCAACTCCTTCAAGTTGTCCCCTGGCCTCTACACGTGTGCCATGGCATGCATACACTTGGCATGGACACACAGGCACAACAGTAATATTTTTAAGAGGCTTACTGACCTATCCCATCTACGTCTACAAGTACACCTAATGATGCTCAAATAACAAAACTGCCAAATGGCATAATTCTCAGAATGTATCCCAGCCGTTAAATGCCTGGCTGTTCAAAAGTGAAACCAAAAGAAAAAGACAATGTGTGAACAAATAAATGGGGAACATGCAGAAAAACCAAATCTAAAGACACAATGGAAAACCTAGAACTAAAAGTAAAGTGTCTTTAAAAGCATAGGGAAAAAAAACTGAAAATAAAAAAGCTTAGAGATGATAGTATCCTTAAAGATAGATCAAGAAAGAGCATGAGAAATGGGTCAGCCCTTAAGAGAGCTTACTTTTTTTTTTTTTTTTTTTTTTTTTTTTTTTTTGAGACAGGGTATCTCTGTGTAACAGTTCCAGTCCTGGAACTCTAGACCAAGCTGGCTTCGAACTCACAGAGATCCACCTGTCTCGCCTCTCCAGTGCTGGGGTTAAAGAGGTGCACCACCTGGGCCTTCATACAGATACACATGAAATGAAACATCTTAGTTGTTTTTTAAATTGATCAGTATTTTTCCAATGTAAAAACAAATCAAAGACATTGCAGACAGAGTCTAGGAGATCTGTGGAACAATATAAAATTGTACAAATATAAGAAACTAAGAAGGGAACAACAGAGACACATCTTAAGCACTAAAATGTCAGGGAGCCCATCATGCCAGATGTGCAATCACCAGAACATAACAAATCACAACATAAACTTGAATGCATTCAAATGAAAACATATAAGAGAGCCCCCCCTTTTAAAAAATAAAAATGCCACACCACAGCAACCAAAACATTCCTAAACACACATTGAGATTGCCACCAGGAAGACAGGCAACATTCTCAACAGTTTCAAATTCCTGTTTTGAAATGCCTGCACTGACTCTATGGGGCATGGCAAATGGCTCAGAGGGTAAAGACACCTATATCGTCAAGCCAAAGGAAGAACCCACACTGTAGAAAACAAGTTGTTCCCTGAGCTCTACATGCACTTCACGGCACGTATGTGCCCAAACACATATACCACAAATAAGTAAATGTTTAGGGGGATAAAAATTTGTTTCCGCTGGGCGGTGGCGGTGCACGCCTTTAATCCCAGCACTCGGGAGGCAGAGGCAGGCGGATCTCTGTGTCTTCGAGGCCAGGCTGGACCGATAGCCTCTGAAACAATACAGAGAAACCCTGTCTCGTAAAAACCAAAACAAAACAAAACAAAACTTGTTTCCAAACACTTTCACATTATCTCCCAGGCTGGCACAGAGCTGCACATATATCCCAGGCTGGCACAGAGCTGTACACACAGCCCAGGCTGGTGTTGAACAATTACTGCCAATCCTTCTGCCTCAGCTTTCCCACTGCTGGAATTACAGGAGTATGCTATCATGGGCTAGCCTTTGTTATCAGTGACCTCTCAGCCAGTAACAAAAAAGCAATCTTACAGGGCTGGACAGATGGCTCAGCAGTGGAAGTGCTTGCCACATAAGCCTGAAGCCCTGAGTTAATACCCAGAGCCTACATAAAAGTGAAGACGGAAGGAGAAAACCATTTCCCAAGCTTGTGCTGTGGCATTCACATGTGCACTGCAGCACTTCTGTCCCCCCTCCCCATACCAAGTGACAATGACTAAATAGAACTTTTAGAAAGACTGGCAAAAGGGCTGGCAAGATGACTCAACAGGTCAAGCTGTCACTCAAATTGGCAAGCTTGACAACCCGAGTTTGATACCCAGAACCCATGTAAAGATAGGAGAGAACTACTCCACAATGGCTATCCCCTGACCTCCTTATAAACACTGCTGGCATATGCATTCCCACACACAATAATAAATAACAAATTTCTTAAAATATTGAAACAAAGAAAACTGCAGGGCCATCAAAATGGCCAGAGCTCAATCCCTAGGTTCACATGATGGAAGAACAGAGTCCCCTAGACTGCTCTGTGACCAGTACATGGCACCATGACATGTACAGGCAAATACACAGACACAAAATAAGTGTAATAAAAAAAAAAAAGCAAAGCATAAAACTCATACCTCAAAGTTTTCACTAACTTCCTGCATCATTTTCAACTTCGTTTCATCAGCTGTAAATGGCAAAAAACAAACCATCAGGTCATTGTAACTGCCTTCAGGAGGCTTCAAAAGAAAATCATATAATTAAAGAGAAGCAATCAGATCTTATCAGTTTTACTGTCACAGCCTAGAAGATGGCACATGGCTAGGTCCCTACCACCAGTCACACACACCCATTCTCACAGACACACGTGTGCATGCACAGACAAGGGTACAGACACACATACAGGCACACGCACATACACACTGTGCCTCTCTGGGGCTCCAGTGGTACTGCTCATCATTTTGCTTCTCCACAAGGTAGAAAGGGGAAAACCAAGGACAAGCATTAAGGTTGTTATTTATCCCAATGTGTCAAAAAGGATCGACTCACGTGTATTTACATCTGTGAGAGCTGCCACAAACTGAAGGTATTTCTTCATCAGAGTAGTTTGGTCAACCACCGTGGCCCCCTGGGTTGCAACAAACGCCATCTTTCTTCTGAATTTGTTTCTTTCTCAAGACTAAAGTTCCAAATCCATGGGTTCACCCAACCTGTGAAAAGAAACATCTCATTAGAAGCTTTCAAGAACATGGGCTTATAACCTATAAAAGACTTTACCCAAGTTCCTTCTAAAATTACTTTCATCCAGGAGACCCCTATGCTTTGACAGATATGTGGAGGTCAGAGGAACTGCACAGAAGCCCAGGGAATCGAACTCAGGCCACCAGGTATTGTGCCACAAATCTTTACCTGCTGAGCCATCTCACTTCCTCTCCCCTAAATGAGTTTACAGTAATCCAGATTATAACACTGTTCCCTGTAGGTTGTTTTTGTTTGTTTTGCACATAGTGTTTCAATATAAAGTTTACCCAAATCCACTGTTTAAACATTATTAACATAGAAGTTTTTTCTCTCCCATTATATATCCTTCTTTCCCCCAAGCCAGGGGTTGACAAACATTTTGAATAAAGAGCTGTAGAGAACTGAGGGAGAGCTAGGGCTGGGGCTCAGGGAGAGAGGGTTTGCCTAGCATGTTTATGAAGCCCTAGGTCTGACCCCCCAGCAATTCGTAAAGCAGAGGTTGTAATACCAACACTTGAGAGGTACAGAGAAGAGCCCTGGGATATATGTGAACTGTCTCCAAATACGTTTGTGTATGTGTGTATGTGTGTTGGGGGTGTTAAACCAGACAGTAAATATTTTAGTTTTTGTAGCTATGCAATGTCTACTATAATGACCCAGTTCTTCTGTATTCAGGAAGGAGTCACAAGTGTATAAATGAATGACAACAGCTGTGTCCAATAAAACTATTCATGAATGCTGAAGTGTGAATTCTATATGATTTGGGCTCATCATGAAACACTATTCTTCAACACGCACCCCCCCCAACACGTTTAAAAATATAAAAAACAGCTGGGCATGTTGGCAAACACTTTTAATCCCAGCACTCAGGAGATGGGCCAGCCTAGTCTACATAGGGAGTTCCAAGCCAGCCAGGGCTACATAAGACCCTGTCTCAAAAGAAAATACACACACATGGTGGTAGAGCCCTTGTCCTGGGTTTTACTGATAACATTTTGTAAATAATTAAATAAATAAGTAAACCATTTTCCTAAGCATTACCTCCAAGCCCAGGAAGCTGTGGATTTTATCTATACCTGAGGCACAAAACACACTCAGAGAATGCTGCTTCTGCTTCTTTTTACTTACTATATTTACTTATTGGGGTCAAGGGAGGAGTGTGCAACACTGCACAGGCAGAGGTCAGGGGACAATCTGTGGGAAGTCCCTTCCTTCTGTCTACCACGCAGGTCTCAGGGATTGAACTCGGGTTACCCAGCTTGACAGCAAGCACTTTTACCCAAAGAGCCATCATACCGGCTCTAAACAATGCTTGAAGAGCACCTCAACTCGGTGACTGGAAACAGGCTGGTGACCCCTAGCTCACAATGAAACGGCGCTGGTGGCCAAGCCTGGAGAACTGGCTTCGAACCTGTGATGCACAGGGTGGAAGGGCTGACTCCCACAGCGGTCCTTCATCTACATGCACGCCCAGCACACACACACAAACAAGTAAACGAGCGTTATAAGAAATATAAATAAATAAATGAGAATGGCTGAGTGTGGGGGTGCACACCTTTAATCCCGGCACTCAAGGAGTTCCAGAACAGGGAGGTCTACATAATATCGGAGGCCCTGTTTGTAAGGAGAAAATCAAAGTCCTAAGCTAAGGATACTACCAGCCTTGCTACTGCGACTTGGCTAAACTCCGGGCCTTTTCATGTCACAGCCCTCCCTCAAAACACTGGAGGCCCCGCACCCAGGCCCACGGCCTTCTTAAGAACGGAGAAATCCTGCCCAGACTTTGTTTTTTGAGACAGGGTTTCTCAGTGGCTTTGGAGGTTGTCCTGGAACGCGCTCTTGTAGACCAGGCTGGTCTCGAACTCACAGAGATCCGCCTGCCTCTGCCTCCCCGGTGCTGCGATAGAAGGCGTGTGCCACCACCGCCCGGCTCTGTCCTAACTTTTTATCTGACTTTTCTGCTGTGGAGGCAGTGTCG